TGTATAATATATATATATATATGTTTAATATATATATATATATATATATATATATATATATATATATAATATATATATATATATATAAATTTGTATATAATATTTCTATATATTTATACATAGATTTATGTATAATATATATGTACTATATTTATATATAAATTATACATATATATATCAATGTGTAATTATTTGTGTACACAAATTATTTATATATCTATATATATTTATATATATATTTATAATGTACACACACACACACACACAAATAATTATACTTAATACATATGTATATGTATGTGTGTATATATATATATTTTATCTATTACTAATAGTAATGTCAATTACATTATAATAAATAACTGCATCGATATCAACCTCAGTAGTAATAAATATATAAACAAATGAATAAATAAAAAACCTTCTGAAAACTCTGCCTGTTATGTTCAGTCTCAATCTTGTCTTATTGACCATGTTATCCCAATCCCCTCCCTTTACACTTACTCCATTTTGCAGGCAATTCTACTCCCAACAGTCAGAATACCGAACACAACCAATCATTCACCTGAACCGCCCTATTTTCAAGTAAACCGAGCAACAACTGCTTTTGCATTTTCCCCCTACTATCAAAAGAGAGAGAGAGAGAGAGAAAAAAAAAAAGTTGAAATGATCAATCTCTCTGATGCTGCACTAATGTCCCACCACCGGCTGCTGCTCCGATCTCCAACCCACTCCCCTGTACCTTGTTCAGCCGTATGTCTTGATAAAGAGTGAAAAAAAAAAAAAAAAAAAAGGATCCTTATGGTTGGTGGTTTGTGGTCACATTTACGTCACTGCTGTTGGCTAGTGGTTGCATCCACCTTGCTTGTGATCCCTTATAAAGCACATTCATTTACTTTTTAACATTTCCAAAGATTCCAGCATATATTCAAATGATTAAAGTATAGACTTGTTATAGTACTTGTTTTTCTTTTTTTTTATTTAGTCCATTGTAATTTTGTTTTTATCAATTTGGTTTGCAAACAGATGGCTTCACAAATACTTAGTCACGATGGATTAAATTTCTAAGAATACCTGACCTCACTAATATATCCACCATTTGCTTGATTTTTTTTTTCATAATCATTATACTCAATAACAGTAACAGTAATAATAAACAATGATGAGGACAATAATAACAATAATAACAACATTATCATTAACATCACTGTTATTCATTAATATTAACATTCACATTATCATCAAAACATCAACAAAACCAATTGCATGAAACAATAATTCTTCCAATCCAGAATTCAAGGAATGGAGTAAATTAGAGAGATGATATAGGTCTACCAACTGATTCCTCCTTGGCAATTCAAGCACTTTCAGAGCTATTTGTGCCAACAAGATTAAAACACATTAACTGTACTATAAAATGCACTCTGGCATCAACAGCTTAACCCACTGGCTACAGGTAATTGCTCTATCCCTTATAGTTTTTTTGTGTATATTGCTTAAACACAGATGGTTCGAAGGCATCAATTTCTAGGACTACCTGACTTCACCTAAATTTCCCCATTTCTTGAATTTTGGGGGATTTTCATCTATTCAGAGCTATTAATAGCATTGCTGCTTTAATATCATTGACATTATGATGATTATAATGTTACTAATAATAAAGAGTAAAAGAAAAAGATCTTAAAAAAAGGAAAGGAAAGGAAAGGAAATGGGGGTAAACAGGTTAGATCAAGGTAAAACTAGTAATTGGCTTGGTGACTAAGTTTTTGTAGAGCCATAAATGTGATAAGTGTGACACGCACTTACCAGTGCCTTATGCATTAACCCATTCACGCCGGGTGTCACGTATACGTGACGGGCCCACTGTGAGTTTACTTATTTAATTGTTTTCACACATAGATGGCTACACTTCTACTTGTACTGCCTGTGTCGTCTGTTTACCCTTTTCTTTAATTTACGAAAATATCTTACGTTATCTTATTCTGCTGTTACTAATGTTTATAACATTATAGTAATTATAATGTTTATAATAAAAATAACCATCGATATTCACAGTACTAGTAAAAAATACATTTTCCCGCCAAATGAAATCAGGTAAGGTAGAGCCATCTAGTGTAGAGAAATTTCATAAAAAGTATAAAAAATAAGCACAGCATTTTCCCCCATTTTTTGTTAATTTTTACCCGGCGCGAATGGGTTAACTGTTGTAATCAAGACGTGAAAATGAAATTAAACTAAAATCATAGTACGGACGATGTGGGTACACACGCCTTTATGATACAAATTTGGTACCAATTTGGAATGCATTTGTGTGAAGCAAAAGCAAAGACAATATTGACATATATCTATTATCATCAATTTAAAATTATCACTAATATGAAATGACACATTATCGTGATGACAGCAATAAAGAATGTGGCTGACGACGACAGAGATAACAATGACAAAGACCACCAACATCCAATAATTTTTTCTTTATAATTATGATAATGATTCTATTCACTATAATTATCCACGTTATCACTAGGCTTATGTCTGATTATCCTCCTCCTCCTCCTCAAGGCCTTTTTTCCATCAACATTGTAGTAAATATTTTAAATTACGTTCATCTTTTGTCAGCTTTCAATAATTATGACAATTGCAGCGACAGCCATCGTTAGTATTAATTCCATTACCATTATTCCAAACACTAGAATAGTTTTCAAAACTGCCTAATTTTACAATACGAGCTTGAAATATAATGATATAAGGATAATAATTCTCTAATTGATCCAGATGAATGCAACAATTTACAACTGATAATGACAGTGATGATAGCAAAAGATCGGTGGTCATCATGTTGTCAAGGATTGATGATTACTGGATGATGACTGAATGATGATGATGATGATGATGATGACTGGATAATGATAATGATGGTAACAGTGATTAGATAATGATGATGATGATGATAATGGTGATTGGATAATGATAATGATGTATATGATTGATGATGATGTATAAGATGCTGTATGTGTTACTACTTTCCTTATCATTAATTTTATGTCATCAGTAAGAAAAGTCAAATGAAAGTACTCAAGATGATAATGAAATAGCTGCAACTCCCTTGTTGTGGCTTCCTCCAAATACCATTAGTTACAGAAATATATATATATATATACATATATATATATATATATATAAATAAATATATATATATACATATATATATATAAATAAATATATATATATATGTATATATAAATAAATGTAAATGCAACAGTTTTTTTGCCAGTCTGAATATGAATGCACGTAAAAAATTAACCAACCATAAGCAAAGCTTTCATCAAAACTAAACTAATTCTGTTGTCGTAATGCAAGATACTAATTTCTCTTATAATTTACACAAATAACCACATACCTCTCCCTCTCCCTCTCACCAAATAACACCAATAATAATAATAGTAATAAAATAACAATAACAAATCCATTCATAATAATAACAATAACAATCACAATAATACTATAAAAAATAATAATAAAATAAAAATAATAATAAAAATTAAAATAATAATGACAATGAAAATAATAATAATGATAATAATAAATAATAATAATAATAATTCATCTCACCTACAATCCCAAATATATTATCATATTCAGTTAAAAGAATATTCTAATATTCTAATACTCTAAAACTTTAAATCCTTCTTACTTTACCATCAACTGTATATACTTCCAGAAGATGAAACACTTTAGTTGTATTTTGTGACGACCACTAACACAAAAAAACACAAGCTGTTCTCTTCACACATTAAAAACACATCCAAGGCACAACACACTATAGTGATATGAACAACAATGACAGTATGCCATTTTTCCACACAATAAAACTGTCACTTCACTGTCTGTACATTGTCATTATTCTTAATTTTTTAAGCATATCTGTATACAAAATTCACACTTCTCGATATAGACATATCTGTGAGTCATATATTTGTCATTTGCAAGCTTGCAAGCAGGCAGGCAGGCAGGCAGGCAGGCAGCCACTCCTCCTCCCACATGCAGCCTGGGTAGCTGGGCGAGGCATCCTTCGGCGCTGATCTATTGCACAATCATTTAGTTCTTGCTCCGGGCTGGCTACGGCGACGCCACAACCCAAAAGGTGTCGGCGGGGGCTCCTGGTGCATCCCCGCCCTCACCCAAACAGCTGACACGGCAAACCCACCCTCAACGAGGCGACACTTGCGCTACGGGAATATATTTGGGGCTTGATCAAGTGCACGCACACGCACATACACACACGCACACACACACCCACAGCAGCCTGAGCTCCCCCACCCTCACCCGTCCTTCCCTCCCACACGCGCAAATCGGCCCTCAATCCTTCCCTCCCCACACCTCCGCATTTCCCACACCTGCACCACCTGCTCGCTGCCACACTGCCCCGGGGGACGACGGGGTTGTCAGGGCCCCCGGGGCGGCGCTCCTATCATAAGCGGAGAGATTCGTGTAATCGGCGGCCAGGAAGATGCCCGCCAGCCAGCTCAGTCTAGCAACCCGCCTCGATTTCTCTCTCTCTCCCTCTCTTTCTCTCTCTCTCTCTCTGTCTCTCCCTCCCTCGCGCTCTCTCTCGCTCTCTCTCTTTTGGCTGCTTTTAATTTTCGCTTCCTGACACTCGCACGAATTTTATTGGCTAATGAAGTTCATGTGGTAACGGAAGCCCGAAGCCAGCGTCCCTTCGAAAGAGCTAGCTCGCTGCTGGTGATCGATAGGGGTAGCGAAGCGAGGGCGAACAGGCGAGAAAAGCGGACTAATAAAAGTGGAGATAGGCGAGCAGCAGCAACAGCAGCAGCAGCCCCACCACGTCCCGTCCAGCCAGCTAGCCAGCCGACACAGCGCAGCCGACCGTCCCGACCGCCCGACCGACCGACCGACCGACGGACCCTCCATCCAGGGCCTCCTCCTCCTCCTCCTCCTCCTCCTCCTCCGCCTCGCACACAAAACACTCCGCGACTTACACTCCGTAAACGTTCCACCAGTTCCTTCTTGCTGCCCGACTTGGATAGGCCTCGGCGCTCTAGCTCGGCCTTGAGCTCGACCACCTTGAGGTCCTTGATGAGCCGCACGCCGTCGATGGTGAGGCCCCTGGCTCGGTCGCCCATTTTGCTGCGTCAATTCCACGAGCGGCCGTCCCCCGACACACGACCATCCTCACTCCATTTGCACTACTGAGAGCCAGCAGACGATAAACATGGCACGCGATTGGTCGGTCCGCCTTCCCGCCGCCGCCGCTGCCAATCGCGGCCGCGCTCTCATGTGGCACTCCGCGCCGCCGCCCAATCCCCGCCGCCGTTGCATGGCAGACGGTAGGGGGCGGAGCGAGCGACGGCCGGAGAGCGCACGGGCCCGCGCCGTTTGAGACCGGGACATTCTTCCTCCACCTCCTCCGCCTTCCTCTTCTCCTCCTCCTCTTCCTCTTCCTTTTCCTCCTTCGTTTCTTCCTTCCACTTCCTCCATTTCTTCTTCTCCTCCTCCTCCGCCGTTCTTTCTTTTTTTGCGTCGTTCTTTCTCTCTCTCCTCTGTATCTTCACTCCCGACAACTATTTATCTCACATGCTCTTCTTCACTACTTTTCTTCAGTTTCTCCCTTTCCTCTTCTCCCCTATCTCCCGTATGCCACTCACTCCTTATCTAAGCAACACGTAAGCCTCCACGGATCTGTGCTCCGTGTAATATCTATGGCGATAACACACTCCGCAGAGGAATACTTGAATTTCGCAAGGATACGGCCATAAGCCCTCATGAATATCAATTTAAACACAGCTTTATACAGTTAAGCGTACTGTATATATAAATACCTAAATATTTACCTGTGAAGGTGTAGACAGGAAAAAAGTATGGGAGGTGGGGCGTACAGCGCTCCCTCCCCCCCTCCCTCCCTCTCTCTCTCTCTCTCTCTCTCTCTCTCTCTCTCTCTCTCTCTCTCTCTCTCTCTCTCTCTCTCTCTCTCTCTCTCTCTCTCTCTCTCTCTCTCTCTCTCTCTCTCACCTCTCGCTCCCTAGCACCCTCGCTCTAACTCTTACTCTCGTTCAATTTCTCTCTCTATCACTCTCGGTCCGCAACACTGTATCAAATTATCACTTTATATTCTGCTGTCACTCTATCTCGTTATCTTTATCAATTTCTAATTTCTCACTAACTTTCTCTCTCTACCTCTACCTATCATTCTCTCACACCTACATCTCCCTATTTTATCTATCTCTACCTGCACTCATCACTATATCTCTGCCTCACATTCTATCTCTATCTTTACCTAGTCTTTTCATTCTACCTTCTATTTCATCTCTACCTTTACTTCTAATTCTATCACTACTTACATCTCTCAACATTAAAATTTATTTATCTATGCCTATAATTTCACTGGTAGCTTTCCCTTTATCTCTGCCTCTCATTCTGCCATTCTACCCATTTATATACCTCATTCTTTCTATCTTTATATTCTCTATCCCGTTTTACCACTATCTCTACCCCTCATTCTATCACTATCTCTACTTCTTATTTTACTTATATCTCTGCCTCTCAATCTCCATCTCAGACCAATAGAGCAGCTTAAATTGTTGCTGTAGAAATACCGAAAAAAGTCAAGAGGTGGTTACAGATAACAAATTATGTAGACTGGGCTTTTATTCATTATACCATGTCAAAGTGATTGAAAATAAATCAATAACAATTACAACAAGCGAGACAAATACAAAATTTGAAAAAGACAGGTAGATAATGAAGAAAAATAATCTTGACTATCAAAGAGATTACAGAGATATCAATGTGTCATATGCTACAACCTTAGACAATCAAAATATCAAAATCATTCTCACTTTCACTAAGCAGTGTTTAATCACCATTTTGACACTTTCGTACTGCAAATTGCACTTAGATTATTTTACAGCTGGTTTTTGACAATATATAGTTTTACTTCATAAATATTTACATAATGCTGGCTAATCTGCTCCAGTTTTATATAACTCTGATGCCAAAGATAGACTTCTTTGAAACTTCTAAATAATTAAGATATCTGTATCGATGCTGACACTGCTATTCTTGCTAATGTTACATTTCCCAAAAAGAATATTTGCTTGCTGATATAAACACTGTCAATGCCTCAACATATAACGACAAATTACAAATAGTTAATGTAAAGCAAAACAGCTGTAATATCTATCAATAGTTGTATAAAGTGTGGTACCTGTACCATCCTATCTTTCACATGCTTAACCCTTTCAATGCTGGTATATGTATTACCTACTGTAGTTTTTTAGGTGAGCTTTGTTGCACACAGATGGCTGCACAAGTGCTCAGCCAAAAAAGGAGTCAATTAATGACCCAATGTAACCTCACCTAAGTTTACCATACCTTGAATTTTCCTTTTTTCTGATATCATTACTACTGCCATTATGATTATTATAAAAATCATCAAAATACTAATAGCCTTATATCAATTAAAGAATCTTTCTGAAAATCAAGGAAAAGGGAAACAGGCAAGATACACAAAACTGGCAATTGACTCCTTAGTGACTCAGCACTTGTGGAACCATCAATGTGCAAACAATTAATAAACTAAAATCATAGTGGACATAGGAATTCCGTCATGGCATGCCAGTACAAAGGGTTTATATTCTTTTACTTCCATACCAGCCACACTAATGGATGTTGGGTATTTGAGATTTTAAGTAGTGAAATCTTGTCAAAGTCCAAAAAACCTATCTGCTATTTACATGGACTATAATCACCACCTAAAATCATGCAACTCAAAGTAATTTAAAACTGTCTTGGGAAACTGAACAAAACTATACTCTTTTTCTTGGATATGCTTGTAAAAAATGAAAATGGTGTTGTAACAACCTTATTTCAAACAAACCCAACATACATGGATTCTGAAGGCCTTAACATTACATACAAAAAGGTGAATTCATACAAATATTTTTTTTCTAAATGAATTCTTAGATTCTTTTTTCTTCAGAATGTTACACAAAATCATGAACAAAATCTTCAAGTCCAGCAATGAAGACTGCAAAGATCTTGGAAATAATATTTAATATATAACAAGAATGTCAAGTAATTTTCTTAAGCTCTTTTTTCCCTAAATTAATATCAAAAACAAAAAAAAAGTGTACTTCAACTTGACAAAAGTAGACACTTTATCATGTAATTACTCAAGTTGTGTATCAACTTCTATGTTAAAGATATAACTCTTGATATAGTAGTACATGATCACATTAACCATAGTAGGAGAAACACTGAAAATTCTCTCTGACCTTTCCATTAGTATCTGTAATCTCGGAACACTACAATTCCGAACAACACCCATTTACACAGCTGTCAAGTACATGACCACTTTCTCTGATTTAACTGACTGCCACCTATTTTCAGCATTTATTTGTGCATTCTGTATGGAAATCAATTTCAAATAAAAAATTATCCCAAGCAGTAATAACATTTCTAATGAACAAATTAATTTTATTCATCAGTAGTTCCCAACATGGTAACAACAATGATAAGGATCACCATTATCATTACAGCCTTAGCTATTCTAATTTTCCCTAGTTTCTGATGTTCTGGCTCAATACACATATGACACGCAAAAAATAAAAATTTACAATCCTCATTTGGCTTCACCCTGGGACAGCTTTTATCATTGCTAAAACCTGTCAAACACCAAGTGCTGCATGCAGTCAGCCCCTAGTGTGTAAAAATGAGAAGCAAAAGACACAGAATAATCTTAAATAATCTAATAGCAGAAAAGGCCAAACAAGTAAAGCAGGCCTGACCGTGCATGGACACTTGCCACCCAGCAAATGGGCTTGGCGCTTCATGGCAAGAATAGATGCAATCCAGCATAATTCCAAACAATTCCTACAATACAGAAGAAAATTCAACAGTATACTCAGCACAGCTGCCCTCCTTACCTGGTAACACTGTGTGAGGTTGCCAAGAACTCTTTGTGCTGCAGCTGGCAGTCAGCATGTGATACCTTATTAATCCATTGCCGATGGGCATGCCATGCCATGCCCACTGCGAGTTTATTTATTTCATTGTTTTTACACACAGATGACTACACTTGTACTAAGCCACCAATGAGCCAATTACGAGTACTGTTCTGTCTCGCCCGTTTACCCTTTTCTTTAATTTTCGAAAATATTTTACGTTCATCTGATTTTGCTATTACTAATGTTTATAACATTATAGTAATTATAATGTTTTTAATAGAAATATCACCATCGATATTCATAGCACTAGTAAAAAATACATTTTCCTGCCAATTCAAGGAGAGGTGAAATCAGGTAAGGCAGAGCCATCTATGTGTAGAGACATTTCACAAAAAAATATAAAAAATGAGTACAGCATTTTCCCCATTTTTCATTAATTTTCCCCGGCAGCAATGGGTTAAAAAGTGCCCATTGTGAATTCCAATACAGGAGTATAATCAGTATAATCAATACAATTCAGTGCAAATACAGTAACTGTCTCAAAGAGAAAAATGTACTATGTAACAGTGTTAGGTCTTTCAACCGCTATACACACTTGTTTTCAATAGGTAGATGTAAACAGCAAAAAATATCTAATTTTCTTAATGACTGGCATAACTGTATAATAGTTTACCATATTATTCCGACTAAAAATTTGGCACATTCCTCAAAGATTCCTTTCCTTTTCGCCTGCCCACTCCCAGTAACATTCTCACCTTTCCTCCACAAATTTCTAAATGTATTTGTCAGACAGTCAGCGTACTGTAGCCCATTCTACTCATCACAGGAATAAGCAGTTATTTGTGAACCTTTGCTTAACTGTTCTCACCATTATCTGTATGTAAAAGCCTAAAACATTGTATACTAATTCAGTCTCTTTCCTACTATGTTTTGTTTCTTTATGATCATTATTAATATCATTATCTTCATCATCATTTTCCTCATTAGTAAGGTGTAATTAATGTACAGAAGATGTACTGTTAACACAATCAATTCTTATCATTACTTTTATAATCATAATTATAAAAGCAAAGATAATATTTCTACAATATTACATTAACCAGAAAATGTGCCAGACATGTTAAGACGACATGTTCTGAACTGCATTACACACATTCCCTCCAAGCCTTCTCTTGCTAATAATAATAATAATAAATAAGATAATCACAAAGAGGACCTTACAAATGATGATAATATGGTGATAATGCTATTATAA